AAACTTTTTTACCGAAAAAAAATATGTCTTTAAAAATCCAATTATTTAAAAGAGAAAAGAAAAGAGGAAAAAAACAGAAAGAAGAAAAGACAAAAAAAAGTCAAATTTCATACATCATAGCACCCTTTAAATTCTTAATAATGGAGCGTGTTCTGCAAGTATGATAGAGATCGTTACGGTTGGGTGAATCAGGCTTTGGTGGTCAGTCAGGCAGGTAATGCAATCGGGAAGGCGAGAGAACCAGCTACAGTCGGTATAGTGATAGTGGTAGCAAAGTAATGCAGGATAGAATATAATTGTTAATGAAATGGTCATGAAATACACGCTAATAGAATAGAACAACATTGCTTAAAGTGCACAGTGCCAGTACATTAATCATTTACCACATCAATGTCATCTTGTTAATGGAAAACTCCGGTCAATCATTCTATACCGTTATAATGTTAATAATATCACTGCTTTAGAGACGATTGTCGCGAACCATTCTGGCGTAATTGTGTAGTACCATTACGTATAAACATCGTTATACATAGGTAAAATAGATATATAACGATGCTCTAGCGTAATTTTACCACTTAATTTGGAATATTGACATGGGCGTGTGTACTTCTAACTGTATAACGAAATGGTATACTTTAAATCAAACAAAATACTCTGTTACTCTTTCTTTTAAATGGTGTATTTCTAAATATTAATATATTCTAAATATATTTCTATATATATTCTAAACTATTAAATTTAGTTCTAGATGTAAAGCATATGTAGAATAAATGGTTAAACAATAGCATTCAATAGATCCGAAAATAATCAGATTATTATCATCAAGATGTCCTCATACCCTCAAACTAAGTTACAACCTCGGAGCTTCAAGACATACTATTTTTTGCAAAGATTTTGTTGGGGAGTACTGCTTTGCAATTGCGGAGAACCCAAAATGCAGATATACATGCATCGGCTCTCTCAGCAGCCTTCAAACTCTAACCATAACTTGACATGAAATCTTAACAACTGCTATTCAAATATCAACATCGACAAGTCAATGGAAAACTATGAATAAATGACAGACTTCCATGGAGACCCTGGGAGAGGACAAGGGGTATAAGATCATAGGTTCCACAAGGGAAAGCGTTTGTTGCTTCATCTTCGACACTTTCAAGACAATCATGATAACATTGAAAACATCTAACTTCACATCACACACGGCAATGAAAGGTTTCTAAATGATATTATGTTGACAAATACAAAACCACCGTGTGATCTCCATCATCACGCATTTCTCGAAACTTCGCGTTGTACATTTTCATCGTCAGACAACAATGGCTATTACAGAAATCGACGTTATATTGGTAACGAACCCCTGATTAATGAATCAAAGTCGACATGATAGCAACGACCAAGAAATGGAAAGTTCACAAAGATCACATCAAGGGGTTTGAAATCAAGAATTGTTCTTGTCTGTTGCGTTTGGAAGATTGTACAAAAGACACACAAATGTATAGCGGAAGTATTGATGGGGGCAAGCGATCGCTGTAGCAGTATTTGTCGTGTATTTTGAAATTCTGGAGAGCGTATATAATAGACTAGGACAATAAACATAACGACTAAAGCGAAATTCGATCGAACATAACATCTTATATGCAACTTCACTTTATCGGGTTTAATCACATTTCAGAGATACAATAATTGCGTCGGTTGATCAGGATGGTCTCCCCTTTGTATACGATATGAATGTGTCTCAAACACAGGAGGCTCATTCAGTAAAAATGTCTATTATTCATGTAATGTCTTTTTAGGAAATTACACTTGTCAGTTTACTCGCACATGACATTTTTTCAGAAAAAGATTCATTTGAAAAGCAGTAGAAAATTGAATAAATAAAGTAAAAATAATTTTAAAAAAAAGTAATTGAAACACAAAAAGGAAGCCATCAGCTGTAGAAGAGACAAGACCCAAAATTGGAACACATTTGAAGTGAAAAATTAGCATTTTGTACTTTGTTTACGTAACAATATATTCCATTCTTTGTATTTTAGACGTCTGAGGTACCTATCATCGCATAGGTCTGCTTTAATCGTAACCATGTTTTTATCCACTATAAAAGTGCCCCTGTATTAATATCATTAAATGTCCATTATCTGTTCAAATATCTTAATTATTTGTTAACTTTACTAGGTAGCTAATAAACAACATATACGAGTATGTGAAATCGCACCACTTGATTTTATTTATTTTCTATATAAAATGTTTGTATTGAATTTAAAGACTACATCAAAACTGGGAATGAATTCCTAGTAAGACTCTTGTCATCCGTCTCAAAAATAACCTTGGTTTTAAATGGAGCGATAAACCTGACCAGAGACCGTTTCAGAAATCTGTATCCACTGATTTCCTGTAGACTAAAAGTTGACTTCAATCGTCCTCTACTGACCTTGTCGTTAACCACTGTAATTAGAACGCAAAGATACTTCTGAAACAGTGTGTGTTCGTGTCCAAGGCTTACAGAAGGGATGTAACCCTTACACTCTTCAGTTCGTCTTATGTCAAATAAAGTTCTTCTATCACAACCAGTAAGTTTGATTTAAGTATAATTTATCGTTTATCTCTTCGATTATCCACTTGGAACGTGCAACTAGCATACCAATTACTTCGAACATGTGTGTTCCGTCTAGAATGGAATTTAAGAAATCTTAATTATAGCCAAAAAATTGCGTTCAGTTTACAACAGTATCATAATTACTCTCTCCTCAAATATACACAACAAAAACACACAAACATCTTGAGACTGGTAATGTTAGATTGTAACAACACTGAGAGAAAAAATGTAAAGTTTCACAATTGCATTATTTAGCTTCCTGTTGTCTTAATAATTGTTTACACATCTCCAAAAATGTTTTTGTTGTTTTGTGCGGACAGATCGGAAATACCAGGTAGGAATAAATTTGTTATTTCATCAACGTTAATTAATCTTGAAACATGAAAAAAATGACACGTCTGGTGTCTAAAGATAGAACAAACAAGGAGAAATGGATAACTTTTTACACGGAGGCCCACAGATACAATATAAAATCTATAGAGGAAGTGACAACCATGTATATAATATATATCTATTCCATAACGCAAGAGACTAAAAAATAATTTTTGAAAATAAATAATTGAATAATGATTATTTACAAATGATATGAAATTAACGATACTTCAGACAAAGCTCTAACTTTGTGTGAAAACGCCTTGAAAGGTTTCTTACACGCTTATATAATATCAAATAAGACAACTTATATATATATTTATCACACAATCCGCCTGTTTTCCAGTGATTTCGCCCAGATAATATTTTTGCGTTAAAGTCAACATGTTCAGGACAAAATCATACAGAGAAAGCCACATTTTTGCGCCATTGTCCATACCATGACATTACAATCAATTTCTTGAGCCAATAAATTACCTGTTCTTTGTTGAGACGTATATTATATAATTGTAATAACTCTGATTCGTCAAAAATACAAAAGTGATATGAATACTAATGATGAATTATTATCTCATAACATAAAGTTTCACTGGTGACAAAATTGGAACGCCTTTGGTAGTGTTCAATCTATTACATAATTAGCATTTTATTCTGTTAATTTGCTCTCGCTGTATTTTTGTGTGTACACCAATCTCCAATCTGAAATTGTGATGTCATAATATAGACAATATTACGTCATGAATTGATAATACTGGTAAATCCTTCCATTTAAGTATTACATTATTGAAAAGTCTCTGAACAATACACTTCATGTAGCTCAAATATATTTGGTCGTATCTAGACTTGAAACTGTGTGTAATGTTCATGTGACCAGATGGCCAGACTTGTGTAAGTCTACAATAATAGTCATGACAGAGTGATCTCCCTGCCTAACGGAAACGTAAGTATTTTCTGTTCAATGAATCCGGTAACATAAAAGAAGCTGCTGCTGTTTTATGTGTCAAACTCAGGTGAGATACATGTTACACTCGTATGTACGTAATGTCATTTTTAAAAATTAAAACCGCTGTAACTAGGCCAAGGAGACGAAATCAATTTCCATTCAAGCTTTATTACATTATATCGAATAACTTGTATCAGAGACGTATATAACGTGTTATATACGTCTCTGCTTGTATTCTGATAATTTTGTTTTGCCACAGCAGTTTTATAAACATTTCATTTTTTACTTAAATGATTCCGTTATCTCGCAAATATAATGGTAGGTTCGACTTTTGAAACGAGAGATCACTAGGCCTATAAGACGAGTCATTTCCATTAGTAAAGGAGCTGTGCATTGTGCAGACATGCATTTCGGTTAATATCACGTGCAAGTTTAAGCACTGCTTCATTACACATTTCTGTTTTTATTGTGTTTTACTTTCCAGTATTAAGTCAACATTTGTTTCATTAATTTGTCTTGAAATTTGATTTACTTTAATATATTTAATTTTAGTGGTATTATTTGACACCACCTCCTGTATATGTCACACAATGTGATTTACACCGAGGTACTTGCCTTGTCTGTCAATACACTCATACAAGATTGTATTGATAGACAAGGTTGGTACCTGTGGTTTGTATTGTGTGGACACCCTTTAGGCTCATATGCTTTTATTTTTACATTTAATTTTGGATAAAAACAATCTAGTATGCACATGGTTGTGTGCAATGTACTGGAGTACAGGAATTCTACTCTATAAAACCAACAAGGACATGCAATTCTCAAATCTTATCTTTATGTATATCTGTACACATCATCTGTAGGAGTATAGAGTCAACGCCGTTCTTTTCGTAGTGTTCGTAGGTTCCGTGGTCCCTAGCTGGATACCTCCGGGTATGCAGGGCGATTGAGAAATAGTGGTAAATAAAGGGTAATATTCAATCGCAACAAGTCCAGGGTACCAGAAGAGTTTATTTATTATCCTTCTGAACATATCAGATTTAAATGTCATGTTTTAGCATCACATGGTCTTGTTTTATGATTTTGCAGCACTTTGTGATCAGTTGACCACTGAACATGTCTGCAGGCTTCCAGTTTCACTAGTGTAGTGATTGCTGTCAGAAATCATGACATCTAGAAAACGACGTCAAATTCCTGATTGGTTGGCAATGTGTAAAGTGAAGAAATCGGACACGGACCATGATGCACCAGGAGGTGCAGCTTCAGTAAAGAATGTGGATGAAACCTTAGGAGGCAACAGTGGTAAATCAGGGGTCAAGAATGGAATTTTAGAAAACAAAACATCTTCAGCACAAGACAGAACTGAAACTGAATTCACTAAATTTGACAATACTGTCCCAAAATGTAACAGTAAAGAAGAACGGCAGAGTATAGCAGCTGCCGAGTTCCAGAAGAGAATGGAAGATTTACTACCAGAGATGATATTTACTGGTACTTTGACTTACTCGTCCCATAAAAATGATTGTAATGCCCTGTGTGATGAGATTGAGTCCAGTCTGGTGGGAGATGTGCTGGGTTTTGATATGGAATGGCCTGTCACTTACAGGCCTGGACAACAGGATCCAACAGCAGTAGGTAAGGATTTGTTTCTATAATTATCTCCCATGGTTGGAAATTAAGAAAAAGTGGAGTTAAGCAAGTACGTATGTGTCAAATATCTCCAAAAATTTTTATTATCAAACCTGTGTGTGTGTTTTTTTTTTAATAAAAAGAAATGTGATTTGAATGATTTTAATAAATAACAATTGTCATGAAATGTATTTGTGTATTTGCATTGTACTTTGTATGGTTTTGTTTACTCTAAATAAGACAGAACACCTTTAACAAAGTGATTGAATTAGTTCCCATAACGAAGGGTCACTACCAATTAGAATACATGTATAATTGAAGTAGAATACATGTATCGCTCAAAGCCACAGGGAGATTATGACATGTTAATGCACTATGGACACATATTTTGATTAAGAGACTGTGAGGTGGCAATCACAAATGTATGGTAGCATATTGAGGGTTTACAATATAAACAATATATGAACATGTGAATCATATTATCTTTTGTCACTAAAATGAAGATGAGACCAAATACATGGAATCTACACATTGATAATAAGTATGCATTAAAGGAAAAATTTCATTTTGTAAAACTGTACAATTTAAAAATTGTTTTTAGTTCAGCTGTGTACGGGTCCTCAGAGATGCTACATTTTTCACCTGTCTACCATGCAGTGTATACCCCAACAACTGAACAGACTTCTAAAAAACAGCAAAATTAAGAAGGTTGGAGTTGGAATTGAGTCAGATCTGTGGAAGCTTGAGAGAGACTATGACATACAGGTACAACATATTGTCAAAAACTCCATGGTGGATCTTGCACAGTTAGCGAACAAAGTGTTGAAAACATCAGAAAACTGGAGTTTGGACGGTCTTGTACGTCATTTGTTTAAACAAAAAATAAATAAAAACCCCGAGATTAGGAAAAGTAACTGGTCTCAGTATCCCTTGTCAGAAGCTCAGAAGAAATATGCTGCCACAGATGCCTATGTTAGTTACGAGATTTACCAGAAATTGTTAAACCTTGATCAAAATCAATGCAATACTTAATTAGAATTAATGTTTCTATGTAATATTCAGCAATGTTTACAAAAGTTCAAGATAACTATCCTGATTTAGAGATTCTAAAACCATGTTGATATATTGCTCAATGTTACTTGAGTTGCATGGTTGACATAAAAAGTTCATCTGGTACATTGCTAACTTAAATGTTAAGGAATGCTACGATAAGTTTTCCAGCTAATGAGTTACTTCCCTTTAATTTGTTAAAAGGGTTATATTAGGTTGCTGTTGTATCGTTTTCTATTTTTTTCAGTCCACCATGTCATAAAGTTATACATGCAGCCAAACAGTCCAAATTTTTTTCCTGGACAGTAATCTGTAAGAGATTCTCTCCTCCTCTTAAATTTTTTTTCTTGCAAAAAGTCATGAAATCAAGCTCAGAACATTTATTTTAAATGATGTGATTTTTATGTTTATTTTTCACTGAAACTGCAAGTTTAATGTTGATTGGTTGATTACCAGAGTTAAATGCAGAATAAGTATTATATTTTGTAAAAACCCATCTCTAGTAGATAACCTTGCAATATTTAGGGTAAAATGAAATTGTTTGAAAATTTTAAATTCATATTGGTCTTGCAGATACATTTTCGCATTTTCTGTTACTTGTTGTCAAAATCTATTTTGATATGTATTTGCTCTTTTGGATTATTTATTCATCATGACATGGAATTATTGTTATCAATCTTTCTATCACAAGCTACAAGCAACCATTAATGAATTTAATTCCTGCATCAGGTTAAACCAATATGAATTGTAAATTATTCATAAGTCTTAACAAAAAAAAAAAAACAATGAAATGTAGTTGAATACTGTATTTCAGATAAAGTTATGAAGTGAAATGAATTTTACAACATTAACATTTGTTTTATACTATAACATCGCATTCAGGTAAGCCTGAGATTCCTCTCACTCCTACACCAGAGGCAAGATGATTTAACGGATAAATGTCAACAAGATGCAAATGTTTCTCTCCATCAAAATGTCTTACATCGTCTTCTACAAGAGCTAAAGGAAACCTTTGCTACGTTCAGATGGTTTCATCCCTCATTACATTCCTGTTGTAGTAGTTTACAATTATAAAACATCTCTGTGTTTTAGAGGTAATCAATCTTGTCCACATAGTCTTCAATATCTGGTATTGCAAAAGATGTTACGATCATCAGTTTTGTTATGCTTGAAAACATGCCAATCAAATTCTGTACGATAATACTGAATTGTATTTTTATATATTTGCTTCATATTCTAAATGAATTAAACTTTTGTGATTTCAGTTAAAACTCCACGGTTTCCGTTGAACCTTCATATGCTGCAACAGGGTTTTCCATAAGAGCCGGTCGCAGGCCAATTTGACCGGCTACTTTGATAATTTGGCCGCCTACACCAATCCAGTTCTGTAATAATGTTCCGTACACGACTACATGTACACGGCAGGCCAGCCTCCTACTTTCACTACACAGCCTACGACTAGCAAAATTATGGAAAACCCTGCTGCATTTTCCCAAGTTATATAAAATTTCTTCCGAGATACCAGCCTCGAACCATATGTCTTGTAAGACTTTTATCGAAGGGTCAATATTCTTTTTGTAATGTTAGATGACACGCTTAATTGAATGTGAGCATGCAGAAAGGTGAATTGATGTCACCTTTGTAAAACATTTATCTGATGAAGTCATAAATATTTATTCTCATTTTTCAGTACACATCACTCAATAGAAATACAAAGGCAGCTATTTCTTTATTTATTTATAATTATTATGTATATATAATGAGTTATATATGTCATGTATAGTCAACCATTCAGAAAAATATTCATCTCATGTTTACTCTTAGAATTAATAAAATTTACTTGTATTTCAAATCTTGATACCAGTTATAATAAAATAATATATTTTGGAAATGAGAAGAATTTGTGTTTACTTTTTGTTGATCTTATTAGTGGTACATGATACTATACCCATTGAAATAGCAAAAATATTTATTTTACTGAAATGATATAAAAAAAGAAAGGTAATGGGAGGTAACTCTGTTTATTTGTAAAACACAAAAAAATGTGAGATGGCTGTCGGTGGCTATTTAGAATGTTTATATTTAATGATTTTTATAAGCTCTTCCCAGTCTCTGTTACAGGGATCTGCATGAACCTTAAAGAATATGACCAGTATTGGTCCTTATTGTGAATATACCGACATTGATTGAATGTCATCAGCGCCCATTTTGAGTATTGATTTTTGAAGTAAGTGATCCATCTGGTTAAAAAAAACCACTGAAGAGTTATTGATGAACATTAAGGTATGCATACAAAACGGTTTGTTTTATGAAATATTCAAAATTGCCGCCAATAGCCATTTTGAATGCAGCCTATTTGTAAGACATGTGGTCGTATGTGACAGCAACGTTAAAGCTGTTAGATGTTGATATGATGGTGTCATTGTGCCTAGGTCAAGGTCATATAAGTCAACCAAGTTAAGATAGAGATATATAAAAGATGTATGATGTCACCGAAACAAAGACATGGAGCTGCATGGTTAACTTCCTATCTGGACTGGAGTTAAAATGAGACTGTATTGCTTAAAAGAAGAAAAGGAAAAATTTCACTTAAAACTGGTCAACAGCTTTATAGGCCATCCAAAGATGGACGCTCTTTTTATGATATACTTCTAGAAATGTTCAACAAACTTTCAACATATCATGAGGGTAGGATTACGCGCCATGTTGTCGTCTGCTTCCTCTCCCTGAAGTTAGGAATGCATGACCGGAAACTCGGGCCTATAAATACGCTGCTAATAAAAATTATGTATTGTAAGTAATGAACACTGATTTTTTGGTATACTAACTGACATGTCAACATGATATTTTGATGGAATAGCAGTAAGTTGGGTTGGACCTATTTGGTGATGTAACGCGTATATCGATCTGATGTAATCCTATGTTTGTTCAGTGTAATTTCCCTCCAAGTCTTTGGCGATTTCCTCACTGATATAGTCTTTCAAACATGCCATGGTATACGACCATAATTTTTTCTGGTCACGTTTATTTCTGAAAAGGAATTGAAAAGATATCATATGAGAAATTGCTCTCAAGTTCGGGTATTCTCTGCTGCGATTTTTCAAACTGTATATCACAGTGACAGTCTGGAGAATTACAAGAAAATATTTATATCACATTTGAGTTCAAATGATCCTTGCTATATTAAATAAAACATATTTAGACGTAAAGTGAAAATGAGAAACTTCATCTTAAAATTGTATTACATTACATGAAAAATCGGAACAATTATCGCCGTGTTTGAAAAGCGTAGCTATTAATTATTTTTGTTTTATTCAACTTAAATTAATTTTACAATTTCTATAAAGGTACGCATATATGTAGAGCATGCAAATAATTACAATACCTTTAACACAAGCGTTACATTTGCACGTCCTCAATAGTTTAAAATTTCTCGTCCTCAATAGTTTGTAATTTCTCGTCCTCAATAGTTTGTAATTTCTCGTCCTCAATAGTTTGTAATTTCTCGTCCTCAATAGTTTGTAATTTCTCCGTGTTTTGACATTTCAATTTACATCCGATACTCTTTTAGTTCGAACAATGTTGTATGCATTATTATTGAAATACAAGACATCCTCGATACTGCAGGTGTTACGATCACTTTCGCCCTCACTGGAACATGTCATGGCGAAACCGAAGGTTCTATGTGCTTCGCTTGTGCTTTCAATTTTGCCACGACATGTTCCAGGAGTGTAGAGAGGAACATCGTGACCCACATACTACACATCTTAGAATGATTTAATTACATTTTAGCATTAACGATGAGAAATTTATATATAATATTATGTATATGTACTCAACTTAGTTTATTTTATCCTCATTGCTAGGAAAATAATACTTGTACTAAAGGACTCGGAATCCATGCACTTCCCCAAAAAATGTTTGCCATGCTGGAAAGCCACAACGATACTACATGACATTTTTTGTATAATATTTCACAATTAGACGAGAGTAAATTTATCACTTAATGTCCTGATTAATATCTAGGTAATATAGGCTGTCTGGATACTGGAATCTGAGATGGTTCTGTGTACCTACCTAGACTGTCTGGATACTGGAATCTGAGATGGTTCTGTGTACCTACCTAGACTGTCTGGATACTGTGCTGAGTTTAGAATCTGAGATGGTTCTGGGTACGTACCTAGACTGTCTGGATACTGTGCTGGGTTTAGAATCTGAGGTGGTTCTGAGTACCTAACTAGACTCTCTGGATACTGTGCTGGGTTAAGGATCTGAGATAGTTCTGAGTGCCTACCTAGACTGGATACTGTGCTGGGTTAAGGATCTGAGATGGTTCTAGGTACCTACCTAGACTGTCTGGATACTGTGCTGGGTTTAGAATCTGAGATGGTTCTGGGTACCTACCTAGACTGTCTGGATACTGTGTTGGGCTTAGAATCTGAGATGCTTCTGGGTACCTACCTATGCTGTCTGGATACTGTACTGGGTTTAGAATCTGAGATGGTTCTGGGTACCTACCTAGACTGTCTGGATACTGTGCTGGGTTTAGAATCTGAGATGGTTCTGGGTACCTACCTAGACTGTCTGGATACTGTGCTGGGTTTAGAATCTGAGATGGTTTTGGGTACCTACCTAGACTGTCTGGATACTGCGCTGGGCTTAGAATCTGAGATGCTTCTGGGTACCTACCTATGCTGTCTGGATACTGTACTGGGTTTAGAATCTGAGATGGTTCTGGGTACCTACCTAGACTGTCTGGATACTGTGCTGGGTTTAGAATCTGAGAAGTACACATCCCTCACTCCTGCCAATTTCGGATCGACAGCCGCGTTAATTGTTGTCCATGCACCTTCAAATGCTGTCTTAGATCCACCTTTATCAACAAGTATAATAATTCAGGACGTCAAATAAAAGAAAACGTGATTAGAAAAAAATATTGGTTATAGATAGTAACCTTCCCAAACGAACATACGAGTATAAATACATAGTTTACATATATATACATATTTACCCATACGCCTCAGAAGTCTTAGTCCAGCTCCAGAAATCCCCCCACCAAACGTGTCCAGTAGTCCTGTTTCCACAACACCCGGATGAATTGACGTCACTGTAACATTACTGTCTACCAATCTTCGGTTCATACTAAACATCTGCATAATCTGCGGAAAGAAAAATCCTAAAATGATTTAAACAAGAATGAATACACGTGCTTTTGAATAACTCGAATGCTATAATCTTGTCTATTAACAAAAATTGTCGAATTATTTCAGCATCAAGATCGAGATTTTTAGTATTTTTTAATTGTAAGAAAGATGCATATTCTCCCTAGTCCCCTAAACTTCAAATATTAGGCATAAAAAATTATCTCCTGTCTCTCCGCAATTGAATGGATATTTACATTGTTTGAGAGAAGATGAATGACGTAATGAATTTTAAAAAAATATATAATCCGGACAAAGATCTCGCGACCTCTGACATGTGGTCGTCGAACCTACAAAACCACGTTCTTTGGGAGTTAAAACAAAAAGGCTATAAAAATGTTTGAATTGAATTTCAAAGTTGACTTAACGACAACGAAACATCCAAGACGATTCCTGTGTTGATATTGTCCATTCTTATTTATTATTTTGAAATTTTCTAACCATACATATTGTATCACACATCTATCACCAAAATGATTTTATGCAGCAGGTGTAAATATTATTTCAATGACGACAAAACCGCTTGGTCCGATTATCATCTTTAATGGGGTTAAACAAAAACGTTCTGAAATATTCAATAATATGTAATAATCGGACAACATACTACACACAGCAATTTACACTTAACCAAGTGGTTTCATTAGTGTATACCCTAAACATAATTATAGTTTGTACAAATATGTTTTTATAAAGAAAAGGGTAACGTTCATTAAGTCTTAAGGCATGATAATTAAAGTTTATAAACTATACCACAATTTTTTATATACTTCTTCATGATCAAGGTAAATGGTTTCTCCCATCTTTCATCTCGAGGTGTTAAAGATATCCCAGTTTAAATCTTGTGTAGACGTATTTGCTTCTGTTTTGTATCAAAAGTCGGCAACGTGTTGAAATCATCTCATTTGAAAATATGTATTTAGTTTGTCAGTTAGTAAAATTCTGATATAAGATCGGAGTTAGCTCCCTTGATTTGGTAAAACTGGCTGGACTAGTATTTTAGCTCGTTCCGTTTTATGAGAAGTTCCAGAGGGACTTTTCTTTGTTTTGTTTTATTTTCTTTTTTCTCTCTCTCTCTTAGCTAACGTCAACGCATGGTAAATAATTACAGTTTGTGAACGATCCCCCCCTCCTCCGACAGTCATCCCAAATACTCCCTGTGCATATATTTGATAGGCAAGCACATGTGTCGATGTGAGATGAACACAAAGGTATTTATAAAATGATGAAACAAAGCCAGCTTATGTCAAAACGACATTTTGAAACAACAATTTTATAAGCGAAGATATTCTGTACATACAGGTAACATGACTATTAACTGACACTCGACAGGTATACAGGTGCGTCGACAACTGCACAGTAGCATGATTAGCACGTGCACTTGCCCACTTGAATTGTAAGGACTTACGAGGATGACCCCTACATGCTGTTAATTACACCAAGAGTCTGCTGTTGTTAAGAAAACTTGAATTTTAAGAGGTAAGTATACACTTGTATTTAAAAATATAGTCTGAAAGTGAGGTGAGTTTATGTGATGGTGAGTGGGTAGGGGAGGGATTTCACGCTTCAGATGAACATTTTTTTTTTATTAAAGATTATATAGCGGCATTTCATAAAAAATACATATAAATCGTTTATTAAAATAAAAAGTCTTAAATGTATGCCTCTCCTCAGTCACTTTAATATTTCTTTACTACAATGCAAATGAAAATATTCATTTTAAATTAATCACTTGTGACATTTTTAGTTGAAACTCATCATTTTTTTTTTGTTTTGTTTTTTTTTTACAAAATGATCATTATGACAGCTTCAGTGCCAAATAAAACCATTATCAAAATGTCTCTATCATGTATAGTAACGTTTCAACACATGATAGTAACAAAAAAGTAGTCGTCATTTATTTGGCGAGTAATTTCAGTCAACGGTCCTACCGCTGTACAGGTAAATACGTGCTCCATGCACGTGCATCGATGAGTCATAAATACGGACTTCTGATTGGTTCAAATAATATGATTAATAATACGTATTGTTTTCGGATCAAAGTAAATTAGATAATTCAGAAATAATTACTTTTATATGTAAGTAATGAAATATAAATATTTCCACATAGCTGCAAAGTTATAACCATCACATAGTTCACCGTATCTGTATGCTGACAATCATTGGAGATGTATTTTTTAATGCTTGTTTACTTTTCTTTTCTATTTTCTTCTTTTTTATCAGCTTATCACTCTGTGCATTTCGTTCGGATATTCAGCCCAAGTTGCCAAATTTCTGGCTGTTTTGTACCCTTTAAGAACTCATTCCTATAATTTTTGAAACTATTGTTACTATATTTATATATCTCCTGTGGTCCATTAGTACAGGCAAAATTGATGGAAACAGTCTAAGCTATAAGGCTAACTGTCTAAATATAGCGCAACAGGAAACCGGAACAGCAGGATCACCGGTCATACATTTTATACAGAATATTGAGTAAATACACAAGTGTGTATGGTGTTCACTAAATTTTCTGCTGGGGTTTCAGTCCTATTGCTTCATTAGGCTTATTTTCTGTAGATTTTATAATTTACACAAATGTTCATTCTGTTCGGCTGATACAACGCAAACCTGTTATGACGCAATCAGGGACGCGCGAACGTTTGTAAATCGATTTAGCTAGATCTTTATAGAATTTCAACAACGTAGATATCTTACGTTTATTTAAATGATAAATTCAGGTGTACAATTTCCGGAAGAACATAGTAAAGAAGTTTTTCTTCAAAAGCATGTTCTGAAATCCCAACTTGTGCAGAATAAGCACGTGGAGTTTACGAATGGTATTTCTTATTGGGTAATGTCCTGGGTAGATCGAGCTCTTGTAAATGATGTGTTCCGATAGAATTGTTTATCATTTGTGAATATGATTTTCTTCTCATGACGATTTTATTTATTATTTATTATTTTTTTTTAATAAATATTCATATTGAGTACCTATTTTACCACATATTTAGAGACATAGAAATCGTGGAACGTAGAACGGAAAATCAGGAAGAGGGACGGGAAGCCCCGAGCAGTATACTACATGTATACTATACATTGTCCCAATCTTTGTTTCTACTTATGTCTGATATATCACATTATCACATTTCTTGTGAAATTTAAAGCGATGATGTAAAAAAAATCTTATATCATTACCCCGCCCTGCAGAAAATATAGGTATTTTTTGTGTTGTAAATGATATCTGTTCTGTTTGTGTTATTGTTGGAGAAAAACTTCTTGCAAGCTGTATAATATGTGCTGAATTTCGTTACTCTGTTGAATGATGATAAATAAGTTAACATCAAAGGTTAACTTATGTTATGCAGGCACATGTTGTCACACCTGATCTCAAGTGAAACTTACTAATGAAGAAAGAAGACAAAGACCAAAGTGAGTCCCCCTGCATGTCCCAAATACCCAACAAAACATGTTCATCTTTCCACCCACCGTTAAAACTGAAAGTATCACTTTTTTGTTCTTTTTAAAGTCACTCTACAGACGTTTTGCTTATAAAATATCTTTAAGACATACTTATTTTTAAGCGAATATATTACAATTTGTAAAGACATTCATATTCAAATTATCACGCCATGACTTGAAATATAAATTTTAATGTTTAAATAATGGATTCATGTGCAGAAAGCAGGGACTCGGTTCCTTGGTTCAAATCCATTACGACAGAGTTCTGCAACGGAAATGAGCCTGCAAATTTTGATATAGTGAAGGAAAACGGGAAGATGAATATATTTTGTAATTTTCTGTAAATTTCCAATCTTTTCTTTATTCTTCTCTTTGAAATACGCGTTTTAACCAAATATACAAGAGAAGATTGCTGAAAGGTATGTATGTGTAAGTATGGCCGATTTATCTGACAATTTATACAATTTTGAAATGTACTTTATTGTGCTGTTGGATATAAATCGAATAAAATACTTAAAAACAATCCGTGTGTGTGATAATTTAAGTGATGTGCGATATTTTCAAAAGACAAAGAGAAGAAATAATGAAGATCTGGTAAGTACCCAGCATGCACCCCACTGCCCGTTTCCGGTTGTTACTAACATTTCCGGTTTCTGTTGTCTGTCTTGTTTTGTTATCATATTGATTGTTTATACTAAATTCAGAAAACAAATAAAAACATGACGGTCTTGGTTTTTTTGTCGTTCTATGATAGCGAAAGAAGCAAAACTAACATACACATAACGATTTTCCCAAGATTTCCCGTCATTCTTGTACTGAGATAGAAACACACAAAAAATACCATACATATCAGTTTTTTTTGCCAAGATTTCCCCGTCATTCTTGTACTGAGCCAGAAACACAAAAATCTATCGAACACATAACGATTTTCATAAGATTTTTCCGCCATTCTTGTACCGAGGTAGAAACACAAAAACTCACATAAGAATTGATTACTGACGTCATATGGAAATCAAACTAAAATAAACTGAGTGGTTATCCTGATAATTGTAATTTTCGAAAACCTCTCTCATCAGATGAACAGACATATTTGGAAAATGTAACAAAAACGTTAGCTTCGAGGATAAAATATACCACATTCAGGAGTTGAAGAAAACTTTGTTGGTTTGTTCTATGTTGTTACATACAAGGTTGTTTTACCTGTGTACTGCTGTTAAAATACACCACAATGTGTAGTATCCGAGCTCACAAGAGTGATTAATATTAGTGAGTGTAATTTGTTTCACAACAGTTTGAAAATAAACCAAATGAAAATTAAATGATTTATTAAGCAGATAATTTTGATTCCTTGCAAATTCTGAATTCCAGGAAATCCTTTGTTCTCGCATCGATTTTCGGATTTTTTTAATGGCGAGCCGTTTCTTTTCTGGATTGGAATGCAGAAACATGAATCATTTTGATTTATGTATCTGCTTATCAATACATCTGATATTCGCGAATCCGGAAATGAACAATTGTTC